CGGTGCTCTGCGCCAAGACGGGGCTGCTCTTCGTGCCGCCCGCCCTGGACCGGCGCACGGCCGAGCTGCGCCTGATGGACAACTTCATCAGCGCCCTGCGGCGCCGCGACTTCGCCAACATGACGGGGCTGCTGCACCTGACGCTGTCGCGCAACGCCATCAGCCAGATCGCCCCGCTGGCCTTCGCCGACCTGCGGGGCCTCCACGCGCTGCACCTGGACGGCAACCGGCTGACGGCGCTGGGCGACGAGCACCTGCGCGGGCTGGTCAACCTGCGGCACCTCATCCTCAGCAACAACCAGCTGAGCCGCGTCTCGCCCGGCTCGCTCGACGACTTCGTGGACACCATCGAGGACCTGGACCTGTCCTACAACAACCTGGCCGAGGTGCCGTGGGCGGCGGTGGCGCGGCTCTCCAACGTCAACACGGTGAGCCTGGACCACAACCTGATCGAGGCGGTGCCCGAGGGCATCTTCTCCAACCTGCGCAAGCTGGCGCGGCTCGACGTGACGTCCAACCGGCTGAAGAAGATCCCGCCCGACCCGCTGTTCTCGCGGGGGCCGGTGTACGCCCGGCCCCGGGGGTCGCCGCCCCAGTCGCTGGTGCTGGGCTTCGGCGGCAACCCCCTGCACTGCAACTGCGAGCTGGTGTGGCTGCGGCGCCTGGCGCGCGACGACGACCTGGAGACGTGCGCCTCGCCCCCCGAGCTGGCCGGCCGCTACTTCTGGTCCATCGGCGAGCACGAGTTCGTCTGCGAGCCCCCCATGATCACCCACCGCACGCCGCGCCTGGCGGCCGCCCAGGGCCGCGCCGCCTCGCTCAAGTGCCGCGCCGTGGGCGACCCCGAGCCCTCGGTGCGCTGGATCGGCCCCGACGGGCGGCTGGTGGCCAACAGCAGCCGCGCCACCTCCTACGCCAACGGCACGCTGGACATCCGCGCCGCCGCGCCCGCCGACGGCGGCACCTTCACCTGCATCGCCTCCAACGCCGCCGGCGAGTCCACGGCGCCCGTGGAGCTCGTGGTGACGCCGGCGGCGGCGGCGGCGCCGGGGAACGGCAGCGAGGGGTGCGAGGAGGAGAAGGACGGGGAGGGGGCGCAGCCCTCGGACATCCTGACCCCTGCCAAGGCCGAGGGGAGCCGGGAGAGGCCGGAGAGGGGGAAGGAGGAGGAGGAGGAGGAGGAGGAGGAGGAGGAAGGGGCGGTGGTGGTGGTGGAGGAGCTGACGGCGACGTCGGCGCTGGTGAAGTGGCGAGGAGGCCGAGGGAGGGCCCAGCCCGAGCTCAGGATGTACCAGATCCGCTACAATTCCTCGGCAGACGACGTGCCCGTCTACAGGTGGGGGGTTTGGGGAGGGG